TTGCCAACGATTTCTTCTCTTTCCCTATACTTGAGAGCCATTGAAGACATTCAAAGTATCACTCATTTTGTCTCAAATCAAATCCATGGGTCACTCATGAGTTATATCCATGTAATCATGTGTTGATCACAATTGGCACCACTATTACCACAATTCACATCACAATCATATGAATCAATTGCTGGACATTTGTGTTCACTTCACACCAACACAAACATCAATACAAATACAAACACTAACACTAAATACTGGTTCAGCATTACATACATAGCATAGCATACCAGTGCTCATACCAGTGATCAACTCAGCACCAGTTCAGCACCAGTTCCGCCCACAACCACAACCAGCACTACATTCATGACATGCACTCAATACTGCTGTCAACTGCTGAAACCACCCAACCATCGACCCAAACACCCAATGGACCAACCCTTGCACCCAATCTCACACACACTACGTCCACGCATACAGTATTGCATAACTTATAAGTCAAACACTATTATTTCAATTATAACGAACGTTTCTACCATTGTCAATTCAATTAATTAAGCATTTATTATACACCATAACACTAATGAACAGGTCTAAACTGCGAGTTAAATGTATTTATCATTATTCAGCAATCATTACTGGATTACTGGATCATTAGTATTAATATGTTCACCTCAAGTTGGATATCTAGTCCATCTCATAAGTTTTATAAATAATAAAAAAGGTAGACTAATAATATATAAAGATCATTTATTTGTGATGCAACCAGACTATTGGTCATTTGAATTTGTTTACAATAATTGTGCTGTATATAAATGCATTTGACTAAACTACTAAAAAGTTAATTAGAATCTACATAAAAATGTTCACTGCAAATATAAAGCTTAACATTACAGTTAAACAGTATAATACAGTATGGGGTGAATTATTGGCTAACTTGTAAGTTATGATATATGAGCATCACATACTTGAGCATAATATGACAGTATTCAAAATATTTATTTAATCATTTAAATATAATTTATAAATTATCCAAATAACATATCATACAAGTTATGAAACAACTTAATAAATGATGATTAGCCTCAATCATATGGTCACAGAATGCCTGCCACCAGATGTCTATAGTGTGGTCATAAGCCCCTCCCTCTACATAGCAATTAACATAAGCTGGTGTCCAATGGGAGCCATGAATACAATGGTATGAATGCATTGACGCATTGAATTGACGACAGGTTTAGGTCTTTAAACTTAACGAAACGTTTGAATCACTTGTTTGTAACGTAATTGTAATAAAGAGTGTCTAATACTGTCTAATACTGGAAACGACTACAACTTTGTCACAATTGTGTGCATTGTGTTGAATACGAGTCGTATTATACGACAATTAAATGCCTATAAAAGTATGTAATCAAGTGATCATTGAATGGACAGTTTAGTGATGATTGGATGCCATCTATGAGTGACACATACAGTGAGTCTCAGCTGACATTCAAATGAGACAATTGTTCACAAGTGAAGTGTAAACAAAACAAAAGACTTTTGTAGTGACTATTGTTTTGATAGTATTTTTGTATGTTTTATACTTTCATAACAAATGTATATTAACTGCCAATTCATGGCATTTTCAGCCCTCCGTCGCATTGTCTTTCATTCAAGTGTCGTATGATTTGACGCAATTTGGGACCAATTGGTGACCTCCAGCCAAATGATTGGACACTATTTGTCTCGTCTTATTATGTAAGTGATAGCTCACTGTCAACTGATCCCATTGTATGCATGTGTTGAGTGACCATTGAATGAGCCATTGATGGTGTGGTGAGACCGTGGTTGATATGACACTAACAGTCATATTGTGATACTTCGCCACAATTGCCACAATTGAGTCCATTTATGGCACAAATGATATGCATTTGAGTCGTAACCATAAAACTCGTGAAATGCAAACCATTTGTCATTTAATGTATAATTTGTTGTGTTTTACTGCTTATGAACTCATAAATGGATATCAAATATATGACTTAATCTATGATTATTTGAAACAAACGGTTATTTACGTAATACTAGTGTCAAGTAAATAAGGATTTAGTATTTGAATGAATGGTGAAATGAAGCACTTATTGGTTTGACTTGTTTTACGATTCAAGAGATTAACAAATGTTTGTATAATAAGTGAAATGCAATCATAAGACTGTAGAGGAATGTCTAATAAGCCAACCGTTTATAAGTGAATCTATTTATAGATTTGGTTTATATAAGAGTCTAATATTTCCTAGTGTTTAGCAAATGCACTGAATTTGCATTCATTTGTTCAGTCAACAATCAATGAATTGCATTATTCTTGTCATGAATTGCACTCATTTTTGCATTTATTTAACTCTATTTCATAATAAAGTTTGAATGCATTCACAGAATATAAATGATAATAGATTACAGTATAATAGATTTAGCAAGTTTACTTATTATTATATAAGTGTTGAGTAAATGTATTGAATGTGAGGTGTTTTGCGACCAAATAAGTGCCTAAATGGCAAAGTCGTCCATTCATGTGACCATAACTGCAGCCAATACTGCTTTTATCTTAGTCTTCGGAAGCGCTTGTTTTCACTCATTTGCCAAATATTTTTATTTCATATATAGACTACTCTTCGGGACTTTATTTCCCGCGTATTCTTCGTATAAAGCCGTCAAAAACAGAGACGTCAGGGAATATGTGAGTATTGCCTATCATTTGCCATTTGACACAACCATTGATTAGATTATAATTTGTAAATCAAGTCTCGATGGATGATGTATTGGATTGTTTTCGCCATCTTCTCATTCGCTGAAGTATTCACTGATGTATTCATTGGATTTTGGTTTGAAGTGATCAATGTTGTTATAATGAGTGATTTTTCATTCAATCATTTCCTCTTTTAAAGGCTTCCCTTCTATTATGAGTTCAAAATAGTGTTCATTCTTTGGCTGATGTCTCCCTATGGCAACGGATCCAAGATTTTGTATCTGCATCTCGTTCACCCACAACTCATAAGCCATGAACAGGTATTTTACGAATATCACAATTATTATGGTTGTTATAAATGTTTAATTACTCAATACTTAATAGACAATTGATTTGTACATCGATACGGCTAAACAAATGGGAGTCACTTCTGTTTGGCATTTGTGGACAAAAGTCACAGATTTTGCGAACAAAACTTTGATACATTTCGTTCAAATCGTGAGTTAAACTACATGTCAATGAAATATTTGTTGACTTTAATATTAATGCACACTTTATTAGATACAAGCAATTGTTTTGAATCAAATGCAACGAAATACGACTGCAGTGGACGGACCACCCGTTCATGCCATTCAGACTCAGCAACTCTTAAGTCAACCCAATTTTATACAACAATTTCTATTCATGAGATCTCCTCCCAAACCGAATGCCACTCAATCCCCAGACAGTATCCAAGCAGTCAACACAAGTTCGTCCGAAAGTGCGACTATACCTTCAAATCCAATATCTCAGCGATGGTTCTCAGAAGAGGTGCTAAACATCACTGAACTTAACGATGAGTTCAAACCATTGCCGTATGCATTGAGTCCACGAATGCGCTCAGAGTCTGAATCAAATCTCGACGATTGGGAACAAATGGATGTCAATGAAGTGGACTCTAAACCACCTCAACATCCGTCTAAAGGACGCAAGAAAACCAAAAGTAAGGCTTCCGTGAGTTGTGAGAAAGCCGTGCGACGGACGCCCAGAGCCGCCGCCCTTAAGGCCAGAGCCAAATGCAAAGAAGAGGACAGTTTTCCAGAAGAGTATTAACATAACTGTAAGCTTAAAGTGAATATGGATTTCAAGCCTTATTTCATTTACATTTTGATCAATATTCATATCTAATGTTATATACAATACTTATTTGTAAATATCTGTGATATTCTCTACTAATGAATACTTTTTTCTCAATGGTTACAAATTATCTAATATTTATACACACTTTTTAGATTTATTGCATTTAATTGAGTTTATTCAACACTATTTAATACTGTATTTTATATTTGATGTAATGTTTGGCAACCTTCAATTGAATCAAGCGAATTCACACTAAAATGTAGTTTTCTATGAATTGTTCAATAAATTGTATAACTTTTAAATACTGTTTATTAATGATTATACAGCGAATGAATGATTGTTTAATCAATTAATTGTTGAAAGATTTTGCGATAAACTTGCAAAACCTGATCAGCTGTAGGTCTTTGTTGGGGATCCAAATGTTTGCACTGTTTGTGAATATCAATTAATTGGTGTCTAATCGATGAATTCCAAGAGTTTGAATCAGTTGCAGCTGTTAGGAACCACTCACAGACGTCCGGTATTTTCCAAATGTCTGTCTTGTGGTCGTATTCAGGCATTTGTTCGTCACTGAAGGACTCGTTGTTATGCCATAACTGTTCCGGTGCTACAAATGAGCCAAACAGTTGTCTCGGACCACATTTAACCCCTTTGTGACCAACGACTACTTGTGGCAAAGCGTCCAAGTCGTTCAAAACAAGTGTCAACTCATTTGTTAACAAATACTGCGAAAGAGTTTTGTGAAGAGAGTTGGAGTCACACATCACTCGAGTGCCGATCGGACTGTTGTGAAGGTATTGTAAAATCTGAACATAACTGACACATAAATTCAATTTCACAGATATGTTGTTGTAATGAGAAAACTCTTGAGTGAGCAGTTGTGGCAAACGGGTTGCGTCACCGATTGGATGATATTCAGTGAACAGCATATCGTTATGACACCAACCAATCAGCTGAATGATCAAAGGATTGACTGACAAGTGTCTCAACATTTGAAGATTATGTTCAAAATCACTCCTAAATTGAGTGTCACTTAGATTAGAGACAATGAGATGATTGTGATTCCAGTTCATTAAATATATATTCTTCACTAAACCTCTGCTTAAGAAGACAATAGGAGTCATGTCTTTATAATCACTGCAATCAAGCCATTGGCGACAGCTTTGCATTCCTCCGATTCGGAAATACCCGTTCGGACATCGATTGGCGTCAGAGATATGATAATCATTTAAATTATATAAAAACACATTCAATACAATCACTACGAGTGATAATACTTTCAAAATGAATACTTTTGTCTCCATTTGTTGCCATCAAATCATTTTTTAATTAATTGTTAATAAAGTATATAATTAAGTGATAATTAAACCAAAGTTTAGACACAAAAACAAATGAATTACTCGATGAAGAAGTAAGTGATGAGACATCAGATGCGATCCAATGATTCGAGGAGGACGACGGCGTTACCTCTGATGACAACCATTCCGATGGGAATCTTCTCTCCCTTTCGGGTCTCTTCGACGGCTTCGTCGACCACTAAATTCATGAAGGGATCAAATCCTCGCAAAATACCATTGATTTGTCGGTTGCCGTTCAGTTTCACTGCAATCATAATCAACACCATTAGACCAATCACTCCCACAAACAAGTGCTAAGACATGACTCACGTGACAATCGCTTATCCATGTACTTCTTGAGTTCCGGTGGATGTGCTTTACTCATGATTGCTTCAAATGGTTTAACTTATGATCAAAACTAATATTTCAAATTCAGATCCGATTTAATTGTTTATGAAATACTATGAAAACGTGTTGTGAATGCAATTCAAACTCAATGACAATGAGTGCACCGATTGTGAGACAATGCGAGACATCTGTCGGGCGTTTGGATAACACTCAACACAAACACGTTATTTAAAAACACATTGAATTTCACAACATTTTGATCACTGATTGTCTGCTTCTGTGGTAAGTGTTGACTGCAATCCATTGAATTGACTATTGCTTTGAGCGCTGCTTTTATTTGTCAAAACTTTTATTTAATTAAAGTAATTATAACTAAAGAGCTATATATCGGTGACTATTATTTCAATTTGAGTCTTGATTTGACTTTTGAAATCCAAGTGATAATAAAGTGTTGGAAGTGTTGGAAGTGTTGAAGTGATGGGTAAAGCAAAGGGAGTGTCGAGACGTCGTAAGGCCGCCAAAAGCCAGAGATTTGTTCACAAAACAAAACTCAAGAAACAGAGGAATAAAATGCTGAAGAAGAATGTGAAGATTGAATGGTATGTCAATTGACACCCATTTGAATGTCTTTCAGCAATTGATTTCCATTTGTTTGACTCAAAAGCAAATCGATTCGCGAATCTTGGGATCAGAAGAAGAATATGAACGCAAACATGACATCAATGGGTCTCTCATTAGATCCAAATAAGACTCTTTCGAAAGTGATGTCCAAAAGTGATGTGAAGAGCGATCAGAGAAAGAAGGATAAGACGGACACCAAAAGCAAAGTGATTTCGGAGTTGGAAGACATGGCAAACAAACCGCAACCGAAGAACTTCCGCTTTGGTCCCAAAAACATAAAGTTTTGTATTTATATGATTGAGAAATATGGAGACAATTATGAGGTTATTATTGACATATTTGTTGATTGTTTAATGTCTGATATACTGTTGATTGTGATGACAGGCGATGGCCAGAGACCCAACCAATTACTATCAGGAATCTGTTGGACAGATCAGATCCAAAATCAATAAATTCCGGTCCATTCCCTCCAATTGGAACTCATATATGAAAGCAAAACAATTAATTGATTCTTCAAATACGAGTGAATTAAATATCGATTAGTTTATCATATAATCATTATTTTATAAAATGTTTTTAGATATCATTATTAAATTAAGTGACGTTTGAATTGAAAATTATGAAAACTATTAAAATATATGATTTACAGATAAGAGTGTTTTCTGTTAATTAATTAATACAATAAAAGTTTTGATACAATAAAAATTTGCGCTCAAAATCGGTAATGGTTTTTATGTGTGCTATTAAATAATATAACTTCAAGTAATTATTGTTTTAATGAAATTATTTTGCAATCAATTTTTCTTAGTTTTCAGTCAAGCAAACGACTTAACCTCAACTCGTTTTGATGGAGACTGAAAGCCAATTAACTAAATGTTTGTTCAATAAACCAATAACTTATTCATTCAATTGTTTACTAATTGTGTTGATATGACTGACAGCACAACGCAATGTCCAGTTCACTGAAGACACATTCGGAACCGTTGGACACGACTCTGATATAGACGTCAGAAATACCAATCAAAGCCTTATTGACGTTCATTTGGGATTTTTACAGGTATTTCGCACTTATTTATTACGTTATGCTGTGCTATGCCTTATAGGAAAACAATAGAGTTACAGTTAAAGGTGCTATAAATGACCTAGCATCAAATATGATGATAATATGTAAGAGTTAACTGGTTTGATATGTCAGGTGAGACATCGCTATGGAATTACATTGACATTCTCGTGCCCGGACTCTATGGAGGGCTCACTCGTTGTCCGCAATGAGGACTCGTGTGGAGTGAGTCCTAACACACATGTCATCGATTTGAGGAGTTTAGTGGTCGGTGACGCCGAGACCACAACATCCACCACAACATCGCAAACCTCTACTCCGAGTCTTAAATACGAAATAAGTGTTGAATTGTTTGCACACAAAGAGAAACTACTGAAAGAGCGGATTCATCTGCACTCGAGTCACAATGTGTCCCAAACCCTGGACATCATATTTCACGCCCGAGTCTTAGGCAAAGGCAAAGGAACACCACTTCTAAAGAATGGCATCAAATGTATTGGCATTGAAATGGATGAGGACGAAGACGGAGACAACAGTGATTGGCCTGGATTTGCTAATTAACACTTACCACCATTTCCACTAGTTTTATGCATTTATAATAAATTGTCATTATTTGCAAATATATTCAATACAATTTTCGTCATTTTTATCATTTTATGATTTTATTGTAACATTTTTTATGATATTCTTTAGAAAATATATTTTCAGACTTTGGTTATCTCTAAATAATGATAAGTTTTAAGTGCAGTCAATATAATACTGTATTATAGGTAATAAGCGTCTCTTCAAACTACCGTAAACTTCCGGAACTGGCGTTTAGTACTTGGATTTGAATGTGAAATAGGATTGAGTAAAGTATCAAAGTCCAAAAGACTTCAAATACAATCAATCAATCAGTATTTAATAAAGTATTGCTTTTATCGCCCAAAAAGCAATAAAAACAAAAAACAGACAAATATTTTCAAAACTATTGATAAAAAATGCTTCATTTTGATTTGAGATTAAAACTGAAATCATTGACCAAATTGGCTGTTAAAGAGTCAGCAGACACTCGCGATCAGTGAATTAGTTTATGATATCATGTTATAAATTATAATACTTTATTAGATTAGATATACTGTATTCATATACACGAGAGAGAGAGAGAGAGAGAGAGCTTTTGGCATCAAAAAGTTTATTGAATAACAATTGTTACGAAACAGAGACTAAATTCTAACATTTTTTAGTTGTTTTTCAAATATAATGTAATTATTATTGACTTTCCGAGAAATACTGCACTAATGCGTGGAGTTTGACGTGTTTTGCAAACATATTGACGAGTCCTCCAAATCATTGCATTCAACAAACTATTTATTAAAGTGAGTTGCTAAGGGGGTGTCAGGGTACATTTAGGATTATATTTCTAACAAGTTAAAGTGTCTAGAGTCTAGAATTTGTATCTACAGTAGACTTGATGTTGGTATTTTTGTCAATAATTTATTGACATAGTATAGTAGTCATTTTATATTAGTAACAATAACCTTAAAAGTTTACCCAGCACATCTATGACTATGAGATTACAGTATTATATTTAGGATAATAGACTATGTATTGGTAAGTAAATGATAATAATCTCTATTTTGATACTACAAAGAGTGGAAAAGTAATTTATAAAATCAACAAAATTGGGTTATTTGGCGAAAACATATTCAAAGTTTTGGCTGATTTGAGGACTTTTCCAACAGAGAGTGCGAAAGCAATGAAAGCAATGTTTATTTGAGTTGTTGTTTGAGATTACAGCGAATTTGAGATACAGTTAGAGTATTAGCGCTAATATAGGCACTCAATGACAACAAACAAGTGTTCAATGATTGCATCACTACTGGAGTGTTGGCAGAGTTGGCAGACTTAGTGACTGTGTGTCACACTGTGTGTAGTGTTGCAGTGTTTGCCCCTTCACTGTGTCCTCATTACACCATTACTGCAGTTGAAGTGTATGTCTCTGTGCACTGCAGTGAAGCCATAGCGAGAGTGAAGACATTTTGAATTGCAGTCCATTTGTGAGGCATTTGTCTGTCAATTGAAGACCATTTACCCGAAGAGACCATTCATTTGATCCAATTTAATATTATATTTAGGATAATAGACTATGTATTGGTAAGTAAATGATAATAATCTCTATTTTGATACTACAAAGAGTGGAAAAGTAATTTATAAAATCAACAAAATTGGGTTATTTGGCGAAAACATATTGAAAGTTTTGGCTGATTTGAGGACTTTTCCAACAGAGAGTGCGAAAGCAATGTTTATTTGAGTTGTTGTTTGAGATTACAGTGAATTTTCAATACAGTTACAGAGTATTAGCGCTAATATAGGCACTCAATGACAACAAACAAGTGTTCAATGATTGCATCACTACTGGAGTGTTGGCAGAGTTGGCAGACTTAGTGACTGTGTGTGTGTGTAGTGTTGTGTTGCAGTGTTTGCCCCTTCACTGTGTCCTCATTACACCATTACTGCAGTTGAAGTGTAAGTCTCTGTGCACTGCAGTGAAGCCATAGCGAGAGTGAAGACATTTTGAATTGCAGTCCATTTGTGAGGCATTTGTCTGTCAATTGAAGACCATTTACCCGAAGAGACCATTCATTTGATCCAATTTAGTGCCAAATATGTATTATTCAGTGAAATGTCTGAACACGCGTTCACTTATATCTTCATTTGTATCGATGATTATTTTTAGTCATACCTTCATTTGAATTCATCTCCTATTCATTCAATTCATTTCATCACTTCTTCATTGAATTGGATCCAAGTTTCGCCTCATTTGGTGAGTAATTCACACCATTTGCTATCATATGATAAGACATTGCTTTGAACTAAGCATTCATTTCATATACCAATGATTACTATGTTATCAAATGAATGGCAGAGTCAGGCCATCAATACTTGTGTCACATCTAATCAATGAATGAATCAAAGAGTGGATCAAAGAGTGATTGGTTTATATAAATGTGAGACAAATATGTTTTGTTGCCAACACTTCCACCACTTCTTAAGATTACCGAAATGTTGATCATTAGTATAATCGCTAAGATATTCCCAATGAAAACATGACGTGTGGACGACCTTCCAGTTCTTGTACACCAATACAGGCTATAAAAGCCTATAAATGAATGCTTTTTGAGTCAATCTATGAATTACTGTACGATTTGTTGAGCGAAATCTCGATTCAATTTTATTATATTAGCAAAACTATTAGCAAATTATTATATTGATTGCAAAAATGCTTTTATTTGAGACTACAGTTGAGCCCATGAGTTGGGATTCACTGGTTTCTCCTCACATGAATAGTCTGTCCTTTTGGCACAAGTATTGCATGAATTCAGACAAATTGTATGAAATTATTTTTATCTAAATTCTTGTAACTCTATTTCAATCCTAATGTTAGATAAAGTGTTGTTTTTCACCATTTGTTTGCATTATCTAACAGTTTAAGTGAAGGCAACTCTTTGACAAAAATGGATGAATCCGAGGATAACCGGAAGCGGAGGACTAATCATATTCTCAACGATTGGAGTAATAATCCGTTTGAAAGAGTGAATCACTCGACAAACTTCGAGGACTACGCCTGTACTTCAGATGAGACTAACTTTCTTTACCCTAACTCTACCCACAAAAAAGATCACTTCAGCACTTCCACTCAACCCATCACTATTAATAGAGGTAATTGTTATTTGATTATCACTTGATTACTACTGTACAGGTATTGACAAATATTGCCAAAGATTGACAAACTTATCTCATTTGAAACTCTAGTTTTATTACTGTTATTGAATATAATTTATAATTTAAGTGTAGGTTATCAATATAATAACATTATCTATTGAACAAGTTATCAATATACCGGTAATATTAAATTGAAAACAAGGCTGTACTTTAATACCGTAAATATTATTTTGGGATCAGTTGTTAATAATAAACATTTAGTATAAAATGGTTTTACGAATCAAAACCCACTTTTAGTTTTTTGATCTCAATTTAGTAACAGTTTTGAACCGATTATTGCAGATTCTATATCGAAATCATCAAAACTGGATCCATTGGTTTGGAATCATTTAAGCGATCAAAGAGAACATAACTCTTCAGCAGAGGTGACGCCATCGGGAACTCCTCAAAGTTCTCCCTATTCTATGCGCAAAGTTATGGAAAACAAGAGATTGATTAAGACTAATGAGAAGCCGAAGAATGAATTGTCTGTTAATCAGAAGCGTTGGTTTTACACCGGATTCTTCTCAGACATGAAGACTGGATTAGAAGACAAACCCATTCCCCAAATACCCAAAACACAGAGTTTTAAAAACCTGTGTGTTTCCAACTTTGACATCAACGCTGTGGGGCCCACGTCTTGGTAGTCAGCCCTCCCCTCAACACCTATTTATGCAAACATTCAATACATTCCAAAGCAATCTATTCTTCTATTCTATAAACAAATATTTTTCTCTTCATTTCATATAAACCTAAATATATTCAAATCACGTCTAAGACTAAACTATTGGTTATCTCATCTGAAACAGTATTGCCATCAATAAATGTTATCAATATTTTTAATTATTAAATCTTTTATCTGTTTTTCTCAAATGTTTTAAATATAAAACTTATTACTATTACTACTATTATTATTACTATTAATAAATTTAATGCTGTTTGAATGCATAATAAATATTTATTGATTGATTATTTACTATTTACATGTTTGCTTAAATAATTGCACAATAGTAATTGACAGGTAATTAGACAAATAGACAAATCATTAGACAGATCATATCTAATCCATGAATTCATTATTCATTGAGAACCTGAGTTTTTTTTATAGTTGCCTGGTGAATAATCAGTCGAATCTATTGTGTAATTTATGACACTTTAAAAAGTGTGCTTCTAATATATGGTTGAGTGTGTTATTGTTAAAATAATATTTATTATGCAAATAATAAATTACAGATAATCCAGGTAATATGACGCAATCAGTAACTGTACAGTGGATGACAGCACACCTGCCTCTGTCTATAGTCAATGAATTGAATTGAATGAGAAAAGCCTTGCAATGAATGACTCATATATTGAACACTTGCTTCACAACAGATGGCAATTCTATGACTGTCTGCTACTATAATAGTGTTGTATAAATACATGACAACTTTTATCATAATTTATTAATTATAGTTAAAGCATAACAGAGTATAATTGATTACATAATATTGTATGAATACCTAATAAACTTATGTTAATGTAGCAATAATAGTTATAAAAATGTGTTATATAGCAGATTTAAATGAAACAATGGTTGAACACATTCACACAACACTAGTATGAAAGTGATGAATCAGTTTTGATAACATTTCAATTGTTTACAACATTTCAATGGCTTTTGGATAACATTTGAATGAATTTAGAAAACAATTGAAAATGATTTCATAATTATATTAATTAATCCGTATTTATGGCAAAGAGATGCCTGTCTTTGCAAACATCTTCCACTTAATCAACATTTGTCTCATAATTACCATAAATGTGTGTCTTTTAAGTGATGTAAGACATGAGACATCACTTCCATTGGTCGCCAACTCTTTAGATTACTATTCAAAGGATTATTGTAAACACAAAACACATGAACAGTAAGTGAATCACTAAATGACCACAAATTGCATGAAATACTAATCGCTTTATATCTCACTTATGGTACAAAAGGCGGGAACTGTTGATAATAAGCACATTAGATGGCAAACTGTCAGCTCTGGACGTGTCTGAAGGACATATCATTTGGTCCAACTCTCTGACACCACAACCACTTCTCTCGTCCACAATCAGTGACTTCGAGATCACCCGAAGAGGTCGAGTGGTGAAAGTCGTGCCATCACTCGATGGAAACCTATATCTCTATAACGGGAAGACTGTCGACGGAATACCACTGAATGCCGACACACTTCTCAAGAGTTCCTACAAATTAGGCGACGATTTGGTGATAACTGGTGGACAAGAGAGTCACATATCAGGCGTTGATATATCGACGGGCCGTGTCTTCTACGAGTGCGGTCTCGACGGCTGTCCGACGACTCAACTGAACGAAAACGAAACCTTTGATGACTTGGTTTTGATTAAACGAATCACACAAACGGTTCGTGCGATCGATCCCCGAAGTGGTCGACAAAAATGGTTTTTCTCCGTAACTGAACCCCAATTGTATGAAATGTCTTCGGAATGCTCGGATTCGGTGTCTTTTGATGGGAAACCCATTTCAGGACAAAGTGATGATATATCTGAAGAAACAGATTTTAAAGTAATAGTTCCCAACGGTTTCATCTCAGCTCACATTAGCAGCAAAGATAAGGACAAAGCAGACACTAAGCGATGGTCTCATATGTTTGATTCACCACTGGTTCACGTCTGGCACTATCGAAACGGTAGACTCAATGCTCTTAACCTATTCGACAAACAAAAACTGTTTGGGTTTACACACAATGACCTGAACGCCAACGGTTTGCAACCATCCGTTTATGTGGGACTCTATCGCAATCAATGGTATATCCAGTCCTCTGACAAAATCAGGGCTCAAATCTCTGAAACTAAGATTACAAACGATTTGTTGACTGCGGAACTGAAGGACAAAAAGGACTCGAAGTCTGATTTATTGCAAATTGAATGGAAACCTCAGGCCATTGTCTTCGAGGACAACAAAAAGTTGGACTCAGAATCAGATCTCGAGTTCGTTTCAAGTCCTCACTTCTCGCTCTCAATTTCGTCCGAAAATGATTCAAACGGTTATTATTTGTTTAATGCTATCGAAGAGAATGAGACCAAATGTTTGATTAATTCGAGTGAAGAACAATACAATGACTGGGAATCAGATAAATGTGAAGATGAAGGCAATGGTTTGATGCAACAAATAGTGATCGCATCGCTTTGGCATTACTGGCGCGAAGTGACCGCCATTTCCATTATTTCGGCATTTCTTCTCAATTTTATTTTCTCTCTATTGAAACGAAAACTTAAAACTAAACTTAAATTATGCGAAGAAGACGTTTGCTTTAAAAGTGACTCAAATGTGGATCAGAGTAACAAAACTCCGTCGCCGTCCACGCCATCCTTCTCTTCACCTTTCAATTCAAGCAATTCTGCAGAAAATGTGTTTAATTCGAGGTATGAAACAGACTTCGAGCCAATCCAAGTGCTGGGAAGGGGAGGCTTTGGATTGGTGTTTGAGGCCAAACATATTATCGATGAAAGTCATTATGCGGTCAAAAGGATATACCTTCCGGTGCGCAAAGAGCACAGAGAGAAAGTGATGCGAGAAGTGAGGGCTTTGTCTAAATTGGATCACTCGGGGATTGTTAGGTATTATAACGCTTGGGTAGAACTACCGCCGCCCGGATGGCAGGAAGACAAAGACAAACAGTGGGACAGTGAAGACATTGCGTCCACACATGAGTTCATCAACAAAAACAAACAAATAGTGATCAATAAGACGACTGTAAGTGATGTAAAGACTTCACTTCGGTATAGGAGACGAGAAATGAGTTCTGAAACGAGTTTTGAATTCAATAAATCTGCGCGAGTCCTAACAGAAACTCAAAGCAACCAATCGTTTGACATTGTTTTCGATGAAAACGTCTCTTCAGTTAAAGTAATTGAAAAGAATATGAATGAAAAAGTGTTGCAATCAAAAGATAGTGACTGTAGTGATGACAAATCCGCTGAGAAAAGCAATGACTTAATTGAGAGCAATAATCGGCCGCTTAGTCTTAATCCAGTGCTTCCGCGCTGTTATCTCTACATTCAGATGCAATTGTGCAGAAAAGACACTCTGAAGGACTGGCTCTTAAATAACTCACTTAATAGAGACTCGCATACAGTGGTAGATATATTCGACCAGATTGTCAGTGCTGTCCATTACGTGCATTCAATGGGTTTAATGCATCGCGATCTCAAAGTAATGAATATTATTTTATTTCATTATTAAAGTAATGAATATTAAACAACTTTTATAATGTACTGTACTGTACACGACATTATCTATGAATATTTATAACGTGTTTATATGTATGAAATAGCCGTCAAATATATTCTTTTCAATGGACGGCAACATAAAGATCGGTGACTTCGGGTTAGTGACGGCCACTGCTGTCGAGGAGGAGTCACACACTCCGTCCGCACACAACTCAACCGATGATATCAATTGCTTTATTCTTAATCGAAGTTCCAGTTCCCACACCAATCGTGTCGGCACTCAATTATATATGAGTCCCGAACAGGTATTTGTAATTTTCATTACTATATTCAAAATAATGTACTATTAACCTGGTATTCACTTTAATATCAGATCCAAAACCACCCGTACAGTCATAAAGTGGATATATTTTCAATGGGAATCATATTATTCGAACTCTTAGTTCCTTTTAAGACAGAAATGGAGAGAAACATAATCTTAAATAACGCCAGAAAACAGATATTCCCCAAAGATTTTAGTGACAAATATTGTTCAGAGGTTTGCAAATAAATGATTTGTTGATATTTACAGAATAATGAAAACATGACTTTCATTTGACTTACAGTGCGATCTCCTCAGCAAACTCTTGTCCCACAATCCAGAGAACAGGCCCTCAACTCTTGAGATCAAAGAACATGAAGTTCTTAAAGATTTGCAATCAGTTTATACTTTTGGTCGCCAGAGAAGTCGTACGATTTCCCTCAATAACGGCGACCACTTGTAACCACTTATTCTTTTCAACCATTAATGTCTCCAATTGTCACAAAATATATGTTTTATTTGACTGCAAAATATTTTTGTTGTATATATTGTTAATAATTGAATTGCTAATAAATTATTTTATATATTATCCTAATTGCGAATGTCTTATAAATTATAAAAATGGCAACAATGGGACCAAATAAATGAATGGCCGTATTTTGTTAATGCTACAGTGTATTGATATTACATTGCTGCAAAAGTACGGGCGTCGACCTTCATTTGAAAACTGTGCTAGCTAAAACAAAACAAAAAATTTAATTTTTTACAATTCTAATTGACTTCAAAGCACAGAAGTTATAACTTTGTACCAGCACCGGTATGTTATTAGCACCGGCTTATGCTATGGAGCTAAAACTATAGGAGATACAGAGATGATCAGGGTACCATTCGAAAGAGCATCAAAATCAAAGGATACATGCCCTTGATAGATTTTCCCTAAAATGTTTAGTTTTAGCACTGGGAGGCCTGATACCTCAGTAAAACCAAATTTCCATTAATTTTGAAAATGAAACCAAACGAGCTAGAACAATGTTATGATGTGCAAAATGTAGATAATTCAATTCTTTATCGATATAGAATTTTTCAGATTTTTGCTAATTTGAAGCACCGGGAGGGAATGGAGATTTTATTGCAAAATTATTGCAAGTTTCAGGGTAAATTTAATTAGTCCCTGGATAGATCTCAAAGAATGTACAAGGTCTGCGTTTTAATTTTTAACACATCTCACCAAATAACTGTTCTGAAGCATCTCAAACATTGTATTTTACCATTGATTACTGCCATAGACAATAACTGTATCAAATAACAAATCCAAAATCTTTTTCAATGGCATTAATCAATGGTCAAATCTAATCTTTGAGATGCTCCAGAACAGTTATTTGATGAGATATTTTCTCGAAGACATTATGTCTCTACACCACGTCCAAGGGAATCAATAGTCATTGTACAGCAAAAACTATGCTAGATAAAATTATTCTGATAACTGGATTTGAAAGAGAATTCAATATGAGCGAGTACCTATTTCAGGAATTTTTTATTATCATTAAAATTCTTATTAATTACAATTATAAATATGTAAATTTATGTAAAATTTTGTTTTAAACATTAAATTCTTTAATTAAAAATTAACAATTTGAACAAAAGTTGTGGCTATACTGTAAACCTGAGTTTATATTAAAATACGTTTTGACCAGGGTATTTCTATTGTGATACCGATTCACGTCTGAGTTCACTTTTGAGTAGTTTAATGTTTGATATATCATATGAATTGACTCAACATTTGTTTCATTTATCATTTATTAAATATTTAAATATTGAGAAACAATACAATCCCTGCAATAGTAATGAAATGAATGCATAATTATATAATAATTACAAAACAATTGTTTAATGATTTAGTTTACAATTTCCACATGACTTGAAAGAAATAATTGTAAAAATAAGATAACAATAAGAGAAGAGAGAGTGAGAGGGCGTTAGAACTCTTCGTGATTAGTGTCCAAATGAGAGGAGAGACCCCTTTCCTGAAGAGCGGTGAGTCTG